CTTTTTCTTTTTAATCTAGAGACCAAGTGATAATCCCTTTGAAGAGAGGATGTGATGTAGTTGTGTCTTACTTATCAGGTCTAATTGCAGAGAGTGGTGACAAACTAAGAGACAGAGGCAAGCACCCCAATGACAGAGCTGTTGGTGCTGCAAGAGAGCAGTGCTCAGAGCAAAGACAGTACAGATGACAGTATGACACTGTGTGGTTACAGAACATAGAATTAATCAAATGTTTGCAGATAGAATAAAAGAGAAGGGTGCTCAAAGGATTCTGAATTTCCACCTGGAAATTCAGATTAAGAGTGCAGGTGTTAAAAAAACAAACACAAAGGCATTTCCAGATATCAAAGTTTCAGTAAATGTACCTCCTGAGATATATTACTCTACAGAAGGCTGTGCTCTGCCCAAACTAGGGAACAGAGCACCAGAAGAGTCATGGAATCTGAGAGGGATGAGATAGAGCATAAGAAACAGAAATAATGAAGCCCTATGGTGATGGTGAATTGGCATCCTAGGGTGGTGTTTTGTGTAGGTCAACAACATCCTGGTTGGAGCTGGTCCGAAAGCCCCAGGAGATATTTCCTCAGTAGGATGATTTGATTAAATACCAAAATAGTTTGATATTTTTGAGAGGATATTTATGCAACCAGAGAAGGATTAATGACAAAACATGGACAATTCAGGAAGTGAAAAAAAAAAATTTAATCTAGAATAAACAAGAAAGAAAACGTAGCTGGCAATATAATTACAAAGTACTATTGATGTGAACATACAATAATCTCACCACAATTATATTCTATAGAAAAGTGGAAGAAAGCAAGGAGGAAGAGCCTTGTGGGACAAGGGAGAAGTATGAGCAAAAGAGATTTAAATCCTCATTTTCTTTCCTGGGAAGTCAAGAAATAATGACTAAGAGTGAAAAATCAAGAGGCATCGTAAGTGAATTATTGAGAGATATGAAGATAAACCAAAAGAATCATTTAAGAGAGTTGAAAGTACTTGTTTCTAGGAATAGAGAAATGTGAGTGAGTGTGTGTGTGTGTGTGTGTGTGTGTGTGTGTGTGTGTAGGAGTTAAAGCTGGTTATGTGGATCTATTAGAAAAAATAACAAGCCTTATAGATATTTTTAAATCTCTAAAATATCTACATATGTTACTTTGATAAAAAATAAAAAATAAACTTTGAAAGGAGGCTCCCCATAACAATAAATATGGAGAATTTCAATTAAGGGTTGGGCTTGAAGGAAAAGAGAAAATATGAACATAAAATGCAGATAAGGAACATAGAAATAATAATAATAAAAAAAAAAAACTTTAAGGGACCAGCTTTGAGGTTGTCTCTTATATTGTGGAAAAGAAGCTAATTGTTTCTGCTGTAACTTAGGCAGTTAGAGATGGACGAATGTTGGGAATCTGAGAGGGGAAAGAAAGCATATTTAAAAGAAATATGAAGCAGCAGTTGGATCAACTTGACGTTTGTAGAGCCTGAATTTGTAGAGTACTTTGTCAGTAAAATTTCATGATTTTCTGTAGCAACTGCAGCCCAGGAATGAAATAACCAATACTGAATCTATTGTTATTGTTGTTAAGTGCCCTTGAGTGGGTTCCAATTCATAGCAAGCCTGTATAGGGTTTCTGAGCCTGTGAATCTTTACAGTACCATAAACCCTCATCTTTCTACCACAGAGCAACAGAAAGGCTCATCTTGTGATTCACAGTCAAGTGCTTATTTGACATAGCCACCACGCTCCCATTGTGAAGTTTGGTAGCCTTAGAATGGGGAGCATGTGCTAAAAAAAAAAAAAAAAAGAAGAAGAGATTATCGGTTATCCCTTAGTTGTTATTAAGTGCCACTGAGTAAGTTCCGATTCATAGTGACTCTGTATAGAATTTCTGAGGAGAAGCTAATGAGTTTGAACCACTGACCTTATGGCCAAGTACTTATCCTACCTTACCAGGACTCTGTTTAACATCCCTTAATAGTGAGGGGAAAAAAATCAAGCCAGACATAGAAATATAAGAGAAATTAGGCGAAATCAGGGGATTGGAAGTCATCATTAGAAGGAAGAACAGTATGAGAAAAGAGGATGTGAAGTCAATAGCGAAGATGGGAACTGCAGTGTGAAATTATAGAGTAGAACTTCTTCAAGCATAAGGTAGGCCTGTTCCCAGTTCATGTAGTAATTAGAACCAGGTGGGCCAGGTGACACCGATCCAACAATCATGAGTCTGAATTCCAAGACCAAGAACTCAGTCAGTGGCCTGAGAAGCAAGTTGAAGATAGAAAATCACCCTATTCACTAAAATGTGTAGCAGGTGGGTTATAAATCAGCAACAGTAGAAATTGCCCTAAAGTATCTGATCTTCTACTCAAATTATCCAAGCAGTATAGTGTATGGCAAAGGAGCTCTGGTAGCGTAGTGGTTACGAATTGGGCTGCGAACCTTAAGGTCAGTGGTTCGAAACTACCAGCCGCTCCGCGGGAGAAAGATGAGGCTTTCTACTCCCGTAAAGATTTACACCCTCGGAAACCCTATACAGGGTCGCTATGGGTCGGAAACGACTCGATGGCACATAACAACAACATAGTGTATGGCAAGCCGCTAATTAATCAACAAGTGTCACTTCTGCAATATTCAGGAAAAAAAAAAAGTCAAATATTGACTCTTAGGTATGCAATTTTTTCCCCATAATGATTAGGTTGCTGGTTATGTGCCATCAAGTCAATTCCAACTCATAGTTACCCCGTTGTATAGGGTTTCTGAGGCTATAAATCTTTATGGGAGCAGAAAGCCTCATATTTCTTCTCCAGAGCAGCTGGTGGATTCAAGCAAACCAGCTTGAAATCCACTATGCTACCAGAGCTCCTTTTAATGATTAGAGTGTGTTCTAAATAAACAGAAAAGCAAATTTATTGCCAAAAACCATGCTAATGCTCTTTTAATTCACAAGGGTTAAGCACATAAAAGTCAGGAAATTGAATGTTACGGTTCTCATAGAAACATTAATTTGACAGCATTATGCATACTAGGTGTGGGAGTTTTATATTTTATAACATAAAGGCAGGAGGAAATATTGCAAAATGCTGTGCAGTTAAACTAAACAAAATAAATTCAGGGGAAAGTCATTATTTGTGATTGTGGGGGGAACATGGTTTGCAACCCCCAAAGAAGAATTGTCAAACTTAATTTAGAAAATAATGCCTTCAAACCTTGAAACTATTTTCAATTACAATTGTTCATTTTCAATAAAAATCAATTTTGCTAGCATAATGTGCATTCTAACATACTTTATTTCTCTCAGTTAGCAATCCATATTTGATCCTAATAGAACAAAAAGAGATCTGACTGGCTATCTTCAGAGCCTTGTTGAATATGAAGAAGCCCACCAATGTATTAACTTGCTTTTATATTTGCCCTCTAGCAATGACACAGTAAGCACTTGAATGCATGTTAAAAGGTTGCCAGTTTGACCCTACCAAGAAACATCTCAGGAGAAAGGCTTGGTGATCTGAAAGAGCACAGCTCTGGAACACATGGTTTCATCATGAGTCCAAACATACCCAACAGCAACATAGATGTCTATATATTTGGTGCTTGTATGCATTATGGAAATGTTCATCTGACCATGCACATTATCTTAAAAAAAAAAGTAACCTAGGGCATGTTCAAAGAAGAAAGTGAACCAGAAAACAAACTCTTTAATATGTCTCTTTTTCTGTTCATTCCTCACAAACTGCACAGCACGTTGAGCATCTGAACCTCAGCCCTAAGCATGTCCATTCATTCTCAGTCAGATCAAAAGGTATGGAGGGAGAATAGAAGTTTTAATCATTCAATTTCAATTAATATTAATTATTTTATATCTATGGTAGTAGTGGTGATAGTGTGCTATGGAGTCGGTTCTGACTCATAGCGTCCCAGTATAATGTTTCTGAGTGGCTGGTAGATTCGAACTGCTAACCTTTCAGTTAGCAGCTCAGCTTGTAATCCATTAAACTACCAGCACTTCTTATCTATAGAAGCAAACATTTCTTTAAATCAAATATTTGTTATAGAATCAAAATTATTTCACATGATAAATATTTATTATTAAGTGCCATCCAGTCAGTTCTGACTCTTCATGACCCTGTATAGGGCTTCCAAGAGTGGCTGCTAGATATGAACTGCCAGCCTTCTGTTTAGCAGTCCAATGCTTATCCTACAGTGCCTCTCTAGGACTAATACATAATAAAAACTTATCATGTGACAAATAATCATGTTATATAGCCATATTTTTATTATATAGTAAAAATAATTGTTAAATGCCATTGAGTCGGTTCCAACTCATAGCAACCCTGTATAAATATAAGGTTTCAAAGGAGTGGCTGGTGAGTTTGGACCACTGGCCCTGTGGTTCAAATCGACCTTGCGGTCCAGTGATTTATCCCGCAGCACCACACCAGGATATGTAGTAAAAATATGTATCATATAAACAAAATTTAGTTTTTGATGTGAATATAGCAAATGAAAACCCAACAACCTAGCTCCCAAAAAAGAAAGCTGATCACGAAAATAAAAAGCTAAATTGACATCTTGCGGAACATTTCTATTTTCCATTAGTTTATGTTCATAGCACAGCAGTCAATAGAACAATGCAAGTCCATTCATGAGAGCAAAAGATGTAAATTCCTGAACTAGCAGACTCCTGGCCCAGTAGTCAAACCACCTCTTCAAAAAAGTGCACAATGGCTTGCATTTTTCACTCAAACTCTATGCAGCTTCTTTTCATGGCAATGACCTCTTTATTAGTGTGATGAAGAAAAATGCTTTTTATATTTCCTTTAATCTTTACCTCCTGCTACTTTCTGGTACCAAACAAACCGAAGGACAAATACACACTGCCAATTCACAGGATGTACAAACAAGTGCTATTGAATATTCAGAAGTATGGTGGTATTTCTAAAATTCAATAACAAATCACTTCAGAGTCTTTCTTTTGTTTTTAATTTTCCTGATTCAGGCACCACAAGGCCACATAAGGAGGGCGAGGTTCCTGGAGTGGACTATATTTTCATCACAGTTGAAGATTTTATGGAATTAGAGAAAAGCGGTGCTCTCCTAGAAAGTGGGACCTATGAAGGTAAGCACAGCTTTGCAACTACAGCTATTCCCTTGTTTATCACCTTTTTCTCACTTGGTTGAAATGCATTAGGACACCAGGTTCTCAAACAACTGTTTTTCTTGGTTTGGGATCTTTCATAAGGAACTTTGAAATATTTTACAACACATCTGGATTAACTCTGCTCTTCTGATTCTGAGAGATATGTATATGCCCACTGAAGTAACGTGGGGGTTGTCTCCTGGGGCTAAACTGTGATCTTTCAGATAAAATTCCTTCATCTGTAGGCAGCATCTAAAAGTGTGCAAGCCTAGAGTTCCAGTGGTGTTATTATCTCTGTTTCACTCTTTCAAATTACTCTACTACTCTGGCTATCACTTGCTTCTCATGCAAAATGATAGAATAGGACAATATGCTATGTGGATGAATCCATTGTTCTATGACAATAGCAAATCTCTTGTATACTGAAGAGAACAAATGAAATCAAAATCTAGAAAGGATAAAGTGTGGTTCAGTGGAAAGAGCGCTGTAATATGTTACAAAACCTAGGTTTATTAGTTACCCACAGTAAATAATAAGTAACTCACTAACTGTCTCTGAATCCCCATAGTTTTAGCTGTAAAAAGGTAAGGATAACCATTGAACTGAAACAAAGTGTTTGCTTTGTTGAGTGTAAAACCAATGAACTGCTGTGTAAACCTTCACTCAATTCATATTACAAAGTTTAGGTGGCAAAAATGACGATGTATTGACATGATTACATTTATATTTTAAGGTTACGGTTTTTTGCATGTGTTTTATATCTAATGAAATTTTATATTTATGCATATATCTACTGAAACTTGAAAATGGTATATCTAAAAAAGTAATAGAGAATAATATCTTTCATTCCTATCTCACAAAGTCATGGGTATAAAGTTAGTGTTTGCATAATTATTGAGTCCAAAGATGAATCTAGTTTTATTGAATTACAACGGATATTGATGGATATTTTTAAATCCATAATATATATGCACTGTTGCTTAGCTCACTGAACATAAGGTCTTTACTAACCATCAATGAATGAGTTGCATTTACCATGTTAACACTTTGATCTTCCACCACATCTCTCATTTACTTGCTGTTATTTAATATACTTTACTTACAGAAGAATTCAGTGCATTGAGCTGATTTGAAAGACGCAGAGATTAATTAAAATACTTTAACTAAAGAAAGTTGTGTTGATGACATAAACTAGCTTAAATTACATATGAAAATAACTTATATTAGTCATAACTGTCAACATAATTATATTAAGATGTCATTAAATGCACGATATACTTTTTAGAATATTTTTCTATGGGCTTTGTGACATTACTTAGTGACATACCTTAGTTTGTGTGTCTGTCAATAATAATGTATTATAACAGATTATTTCACTTAAGTGTAATTTATATGAATTTAAAAATCTGTGATTTAGCATAAAGGAATGTTCCAAGAATATAATAATTAACAAATATGATTTTTTCATTTTGTTTATAAAATACTCAGTAAACAGGTAGTATAAAAACTAAAAAAAATTAACGAACTATTCATATTCTTTGTTACTCTCATGATAAACTAAATGTTGAAAAATTGAATATCAATATATTTTTAAATGTTTTAATTTTAGATTGCAGCTGAATTTAGAGGAAAATATCCTGAAAGCATTCCAACATAACCAGATTTAGTGAGCACAGAGTAGGTTACCCTTGAGTCTTCTTCAGACATCTTTTCCGAGCTGAGTTCAGTTTCATCTGTTTAATGACAATTTTTTTAAAGGACCCAGCATATATATAGCAGATTATTGAACAGTGAGACTGATTTGGATTGTGCAGATTTTTATTCTGTAGCACAGAGTGTTTCAAGAGTTGAAATTGGCTCAAAAGCACTAACAACTACATGACTGCCTCTAAAATCAATACCATTTCTTTGAAAACACATTGTGCACTTAAATGAATAAGAATCACATTTCACATGTCAGAGGCAATGGTCATCTGGGTGGAAAACTAGGGAGCATTTTCAAATGTCAGGATCTTTATTGTTGTTAGGTGCCGCCTACTTGATTCTGGCTCATAGCAACTCTATGCAAAACAGAACCAAACACTGCCTAGTCCTGTGCCGCCCTTACCATTGCTGTGATGTTTGAGCCCATTGTTGCTGTCACTGTGTCAATCCATTTTGTTAGGGTCTTCCTCATTGCTTACCAAGCATGATGTCCATCTCAAGGGACTGATCCCTACTGAGAACATGTTCAAAGAACAAGAGAGAAAGTCTTGCCATCCTTGCTTATAAGGGTGTTCTGGCTGCACTTCTTCCAACACAGATCAGTTTGTTCTTCTTGGAGTCACTGGTACTTTCAATATTCTTTGCCAACACCATACTTTGAATGCATCAATTCTTCCTTATTCATTGTCCAACTTTCAAATGCCTATGAGCCAATTGAAAATACCATGACTTAGGTCATGCTCACTTTAGTCCTCAAAGTAATATTTTTATTCTTTAACACTTTAGAGAGCTCTTTTGCAGCAGAATGGACTAATAAAATACATTGCTTGATTTCTCAACTGCTGTGTCCATGAGCTTTGAGTGTGGATCTGAGTAAAATGAAGTCTTTGACAACTTCAATCATTTCTATGTTTCTAATGATGTTATTTATTGGTCCAGTGGTGAGGATTTTCCTTTTCTTTACATTGAGGTGCAATCCATACTGAAGACTTTCATACTGTGGTCTTTGATCTGCATCATTAAGAATGTAGGGCCTTAGATGGAATCCTGAACTCCACCCAAAACCTTCTGAGGTAGGACATTCCCTCTAAATCACATGCAGACCAACCTGGAAGGGCTAGAAGAACAGAAAATACTTTTTTGAAATAAAGACAGTCTGAAAAAAAAAAGCAGACTGGATGTTTGAATTTCAAGCAAACTTGAAGACATCAAGGTAAGAAAAGTCATCCCATCAGGGCAAATCTCCTAAAACTGAAACACAAATGGAAGCCATAAGCAATCTAGTATGGTTGCTCATGACCACCCTTGTCTTCTTGTGAGTAGAAGTGGGAGAAATGCAGCAATGAAGACACAGGCTGAGTTTGGCCATGTTCCATTGACACCTGTTGACCTGGAGATGAGAAAAAGAAGAGGAAGGGCTGGCTGGTCTGAAGTTTAGGGAGATGCATGAACTCACAAGCCCATGGACACTGACCTAGACATAGGGGGCTAAAGCTGAGAGTGAAGTGGCCAGCTGGTCTGAAGTATGTGTACATCAAATATTTTTCATTGTTCCTTTGTGAAATATCAAGGTGTAAAAGGGAAGCAACACCTTGGGTGGAAGCAGGATAGATGTTGTTACAGGGAGGGGAGAGTAACCATTTAGATGAAACAAAATGTATGATTGGTTGAAAGTAAAGCTTTTGATCTTTTCTGTTTACCTTCACTCAATTCACAATAAAACATTGGGGGGAGAAAAAAAAACCCAAAGATCTTGAAAGGCTCTTTATGAAAATGAATGCAGTACCATTTCTCTTCAATTTGTCATTGCTAACACAGTAAACCATATGATTGTCTGATTCAAAAACGCCAATACCAGTTAGCTCACTAATGCCTAGAATATAGATCTTTATCCATTCCATTTCATTTCTGACAACTTCCAGTTTTCCAAGATTTATACTGTATACATTCTGTGTTCCAAATATTAATGGATGTTTGCAGCTATATCTTCTCATCTTGAGTTGTACCCATCAGCAAATGAAGGTCCAGAAAGCTCTACTCCATTCACATCATTAAGGTCTAGTCTACTTTGAAAAGGCAGCTCTTCCCTTTCAATGGGGGTGGGGTAGGGGCGTCCCATCTCCCAGCACTATATCTGATCATGTTCTGTTGCTGTTCATAAGGTTTCCAGTGGCCAACCATTCAAAAGGAAAACCTGCCTCTCTGTCTTCCTAGTCTAGAAGCTTCCCTGAAACCTGTCCACCATGGGTGACCCTGCTGGTATTTAAAATACCAATGGCATTGCTTCCAACATAATAGTAACACACAAACCACCAAAGTTTGACAAACTCACAGGCAATGGTGGTCAGGATCATTAAGTTTTATATTTTGTGTTTTACATTGGAACTAGGAACCCAGTAAAGTTCACATTCTATTCAAAATCATTGCTGTTTCTTCATGATTGATCATAAACTCTGGATTCAGTTCACCACTTAATGTGTGTTTTGTAAAGGAAATCTTGTTGTTAGATTCCATTGAGTCAGTTCAACAGAACAAAGTACAATAGAATGAAGTACTTCCTGGTCCTATACCATTTTCTCAATTGTTGCAGCCACCATGTCAGTCCATCTCATTGAAAGTCTTCCTCATTTTCACTGACCCTCTATTTAATCAATAATGTCCTTCTCCAAGGACTGGTTCCTTCTCATAACATACCCAAAGTACTTGTAATTAAATCTTGCCATCTTTACTTCTAAGGAACATTCTGACTGCATGTCTTCCTAGACCATTTAAAATTTTTTTCTGGCTCTCCTGTATATATTCAGTATTTTTCTCCAACACCATAATCCAAATGCATCAATTCTCCAGTCTTTGCCATTCATTGTACATCTTTCACTTGCATATGAAGTGATTGAAAACACCAAGGCTTCGGTCAAGAACATATCAGTTCTCACACCACCAAGAAGAAGAAAAGGTCGTAGGGCACTGTATTTGTACCTGGGGTCCCTGCACTGAGAATATTCTTAACCCAGAAGATATATATGTAGAGAGAGCTAAAACACCAGAGATGGCATGAGATGGTAAGACACAGAACCAGTAGATCAGTGCAAGGCAGCACAGTGGACTTCCTGGCCCATGGAGCAAGGTGATTACAGTGGGTATGCTGACATATGGAGTGCTGAATACCTTTGGGCAAAAGCCTTCCTAGTGGAGTGAGGTTCCTGCAGGCAATTGTCAACAGAAGTTCACTTGCCATCTCAAGTAGTATGAAAGCTGAGAACCTTCAGAAAGAAGGC